CACCAGGGCTGTGGCCTCATCGACTGCCTTACTCCGTGGCGTTGACCTGCCCGACATCTGCCGGTCCGCTACCTGGTCCAATGCCTCTACCTTCATAACCCACTACAGATTGGACGTGAGGGCAAGAGAGGAAACCAGATTTGGGAGGGCAGTGCTAGCATCGGCTCTTCAGTGACAGCCCACCATCCGGTTAGTAAGCGTGCTAATCACCCTTTGTGTGCATTCACAGAAGACCACGATGAAGAAAGAAAGGTTACTTACCTGTAACGATGGTTCTTCAAGTGGTCATTCTGTGAATTCACACAATCCCGCCCGGCCTCCCCTCTGTCTGTCTGTCACTGGCATCTCTCTGACTCGAGGGCCTATGGCGGACAAATGGAACTGAGGGACGGTTAGGCTGGGCGTGCGCAGTAGGGGTAGTCCTAAACATTGTTACTTTTCTCTTGCAGCTAGAAAACGTTCCGAGAGGCCCAACGCTGGCGCTGGTATTAACCCTTTGTGTGAATTCACAGAATGACCACTTGAAGAACCATCGTTACAGGTAAGTAACCTTTCTTTTTTCCTCATAGGGTTTGGTTTCCAGTCCTCTGATCATGGATGTTGCCCTCCTCTGAAGCTGTTCTGCATCCTTAACCTGCTCTATTTTTAGAACAACAGTTGTCAGTTATTTTGTCACTTGTTGCAAAACCATAGTGGAAATTGAAAGCCTCATTATCTCATTATTTCCTTGGGGGAGAGCTTCTCCATTAGAGCACTAGAATGTGCCATTCCTGCTGTGGGAAGGAAAAAAAATTCCAACCATCAAGTTGAAACACTGGTGCTCTGCTGGCCATTTCTCATTTGTGCTGTTCTCTTGGCCGAGGAATTTGTGGCACTGCCATAAAATAAGAGGAGGAAGAGGAGTCATGGATCTAAAGGCGGTGCAGATGTTTCTGCTGACTCCTCATATGAAAGAGCATCTTTATTCCTCTGCATAACCAGAAGCGGTTGCCAAAGTCCTGCAGTGGCTGGAGAGCCACACATTTTGTTACCACAAAAACGCGGAATAATAGCACTTTTAGCAGAGTATTTAAGCAGTCCAGGTAGTCCAGAATAACTCACGCACACACCAGCAGCTTTTCCTCTATCAACATGTATTTACAAGGTATTTACAGCAGTTCAGTCTGGAAGCGTAACAACACCAAGCAGGAAGATACATCAACTCTTCGTTTGACACATATATACACATACAGATCTGCTTGTGTCCAATCACATTATGTGTTGCATCATCCATGAGTCAGCACTGCTGAGTCATCATGACTCAGTTTTAACACATCTGTTCATCATGGCTGCTCATTAATATACTTTATTCTGATCAGACCTTTAAATTTACCTTGACATTTACCTCACTGTCAGTCTGTACTTCATAACACCATTTTCTCAACCTTTTCCCTCCGATCAGGGTTTGATGACACGACAGTCAAACTGGAAGAAGAAGAGAAGCCGTGCAACCTTCACCAGTGGGAATCCGAGACCTTCCCAGGCACCAGCTCAGGTGATGTCTCAGTAGCTCAGGACCTTTCCCCATGAATGCATATTTGTACCATAAATGTGTATGCTGTTCGGGACATGTAGAGGTTTAAAATCATGCTTATTTCATTCTCACCTGTGTGTGTGGGGGGGGAAGCAACCACAATTTTTTTTGCCTTACCTGTGAGAGGTAATTGCCTTCCGACAATCTCAAAGACATTTTTTGCATTTATGAGAACAGTTTTTGTCGACGTTTCAAAATTACAGTAGCTGCTGCTTTGTTGCGGTGCTAGAGCAATGGCTGCCACCCTTAGGCCCTTGGATGTTCTTGGACTACAACTCCCAGAAGCCCTCACCACCAGCTGTGCTGGCCAGGATTTCTAGAAGTTGTAGGCCAAGAACATCTGGGGAGCCCAGGTTGAGAACCACTGTTCTAGAGGAAAAGTGGTTGCTTTTCTTCATATCAGATGATGTGCGGCATGTCACAGTGTGGAGTAGTTTATGGGAAACCCCTCCTGTACTTTTCTCAGCGAGGGAAATATTTAAAACGGGAACACCTGTATTAAAAACAATTTTTAAATAGACTTAAGACCTGAACTTGAGGATACCTTTTCTGTTCCAAGCTGGATTACAAGAAGAAGCCGATTCATGATTCATTGCAGCCCTGCTCACGATTTGCTCTTTTCTTTGATTCAGGAGTTCCTGACTCTGTGGTCAAACAAGAGGAGGAAGAGGGGTCATGTGACCAGGGATCCGGGGAAAGTGGAAGTGTTGATGGTGATCTCTCAGGTGAGAATGTGAGAAGGTTCATGAGCAGGGCAGGTTCATAAGATGCCTTCATTTTTGGCCCGGATCTCAGCTTCTACAAAGGCTAGAGACTTGCCGATTTATAAACTGGAAGCTGAGAATCCAAGGCAATGAGTGGTGCCCAAAACAGGCACTGGGTGGCATTACAGTGGTGCCTCGCTTAACAACGATAATCATTCCAGAAAAATCGCCGTAAAGCGAAAACATCGTAAAGCCATTTTGAAGCCGCCGATCAGCTGTTAAAAAAACATCGTTTTGTGAAGAATCGGTTCCTGAAGCAGGGAACCGATCGTCACAAAGCGAAGTTCCCCCATTTAGACCATCGTTTTGCGATCGCAATTGCCATTGCAAAAAGATCGTCGTAAAGCAGATTCATCGTAATGCAGGGCAATCGTTAAGCAAGGCACCACTGTACTTGGATCCACTAAAGCCCATCCAATGGGGCAATAAGGAAAACTTACCTCCCCTGATCCTTTTTTCCAGGAAATAATGTTTCCTCTAAAACAAATGGCTCTTCTAAGAAGGTATTTCAGAAGCACTTCTATTAAAAATACAAATCAACATTATTATTATTTTTTTACATCAAGTGAACAAGTAAATCAAGGACATCTTTTCTGCCGGACAAAATGTTCCAGGGTCGATGTTTGCAAACCAGTTACTTGATGGAATTTTGCAGCCAGGCTGACAATCCCTTCTTGCTTCCTTCCTTCCATTCAGCACTTCCTGATGTTATAATAAAAATAGAAGAGGAAGAAAGGCTGTTCAACCAGGGATCCGAGGAAGTTGGAACCACAGGTGAGGGGGTGGTTAGTGTCACTGGCTATTCATAAACTGTGCTTCAGGACTCGGCCTCTTCCCCAACCTGTCTGGGATTTCAGGTAGAGGGTGTTTCTCAGCTCCTGAACCTTTGACCTTACAGGTAGGCAATCTTTTTTGTGTTGAGGGTGATACTCTCCTGGAGGCAATCTGTTGGAAGCCACGGATTTAGCCCTTAGATGCCTGCTTTGAACATTCTTGTGTATTCCACAATATGTATGCAGAATTAGGGTCTCCAGCTCGTCTTTCTAAAGGGCTCCACACTTTTAATTTTGACCTCTCCAAACTGGGGAATAGTTAGACCTGTTGAATTTGACTAGTGCAAATGGCAAGACAATTTTGTTTCAGTGGCCAGAATCTTGTTATTTAAGTGTACCAGCCGCCTAGAGTGGTCTTAACTGACCAGATAGGCGGGATATAAATAAAATAAATAAAAATAAATAAATAAATAAATAAGTGCAATGGCATAAACCTCAATGTCAATCTGCCTGTTATGAAATCTTTGCTTAAGTGGCTTGTTATGCAGCAGTCACATTGTTGGTGTGCAACGAGGAAATGCCAGCAGCGATCTTTTAATCCAGTGGTTCTTAACCTTGGGTTACTCAGGTGTTTTTGAACTGCAACTCCCAGAAACCCCAGCCAGCACAGCTGGTGGTGAAGGCTTCTGGGAGTTGCAGTCCAAAAATACCTGAGTAACCCAAGGTTAAGAACCACTGTTTTTAATCGGCAATTTGTGGATGAATTTTAAGCCATTGCACTTACCCCGTTTCCCCGAAAATAAGACAGGGTCTTATTAATTTTTGCTCCAAAAATAAGCATTAGGGCTTATTTTATTCTTTTCACATGCAACAATCTACATTTACTCAAATACAGTCATATCATCTTCTGGTTGCTGCACAAGGGTGGAGGGTGGGGTTTCACTTAACTGGGGCTTATTTTTGGGGTAGGGCTTATATTACGAGCATCCTGAAAAATCATACTAGGGCTTATTTCCAGCTGAAAACAACTTATTCAGAAGGAATAGACTGAACATACATGGATGGAGAGGAGCTTTGTAGGTATAGTATAGGATTGTGCATCTGTGAATCATGAATCAAGGCAGGGAAGGCTGGTTGGATGCATTTAGTTAAAAATAAAAAGAGAGGAAAAGATTCGGAAGGTCACTCTGGAGGTGGGCGATTTATCTCCATGCCCGACAGAACATTTGGATGGTGCCTAATTCCATCTTCCCTGATCTTGTCCTTCTTTCCATCAGATAACTTGAAGGATTCGAATGTGTGCGCCCACTGTGGGAAGTCTTTTACATACAAATGGGATCTCATCAGACACCAGCGAACCCATACGGAAAAGCGGGTGGCACGTTGCCCTCGAGAGGAGCCCTACAAATGTGCCGTGTGTGGGAAACAATTTGCTCAAAAGATGGTGCTAACGTTTCATCAGAGGGTCCATATAGGAGAGAAACCGTACAAATGCCAGGAGTGTGGGAAATGCTTTGCTCACAGTTCACATCTTGGAAGCCACCAGAGAGTCCATGTGGGAGAGAGGCCATACAAATGCCAAGACTGTGGGAAATGTTTTACTCGCAATTCACACTTCATGATGCATCAGAGAGTCCACACGGGAGAGAAGCCACACTCATGTCAGGAGTGTGGGAAGTGTTTTGCTCGCAATTCAGACCTTGTGATCCACCAGAGAGTCCACACAGGAGAGAAACCCTACAAATGCCAGGAGTGTGGAAAATGTTTTGCTCGCAATTCAGATCTTGTGATCCATAGGAGGATTCACACAGGAGAGAAACCATACAAATGTCAGGAATGTGGGAAATGCTTTGCTCAGAGTTCACAGCTTGTGACACATCAGGGACTCCACCCAGGAGAAAAGCCGTTCAAATGCCAGGAGTGTGAAAAATGTTTTGCTTATAAGTCTGCCCTTGAGAAACACCAGAGAGTCCACACAGGAGAGAAGCCGCACAAGTGCCAGGACTGTGGGAAATGTTTTGCTTACAAGTCAGATCTTGTGAATCATCAGAGAATCCATACAGGAGAGAAACCATACCAATGCCAGGAATGTGGGAAATGCTTTGCTTTCCGTACAGCTCTTATGAGCCATGGGAGAGTTCACACAGGTGAGAAACCGTACAAATGCCAGGAGTGTGGGAAAGATTTTGCTCAAAACTCAGAACTTGTCAGGCATCAGAAGATCCACACTGGAGAAAAACCATATCAATGCCAGAAATGTGCAAAATGTTTTGCTGATAAATCAAACCTTGATAAACATCAAAGAGTGCACACTGGAGAGAAACCGTACAAATGTCAGGAGTGTGGGAAATGCTTTGCTCAGAATTCACATCTTGTGACACATCACAAAGTTCACACAGGAGAGAAACCCTACCGATGTCAGCAATGTGGGAAGTGTTTCCCTTGTAATTCACAGCTTGTAACCCATCAGAGAGTCCATACAGGTGAGAAACCGTACAAATGCCAGGAGTGTGGGAAATCTTTTGCTTATAAATCAGACCTTGGGAAGCACCAGAGACTCCACACAGGAGAGAAACCATACAAGTGCCAGGATTGTGCAAAATGCTTCGCTTTCCGTTCAGCCCTTTTGAACCACGAGAGATTCCATACGGGGGAGAAACCATACAGATGCGAGGACTGTGGGAAGTGTTTTGCTTCTAGTTCACGCCTTGAGAGCCACCGGCTCGTCCATTCAAGAGATAAGCAATGCTCAAGCGAAGGGGTCTTGTAGGTAAACACTGTAAAACAAAATATTAAATGCCCAGATTGTTTTATGAAGTATGCTGGCTTTTCATAAATGTATTATATCTAGAAAAATGAAGCCACCTATATAAGATGGAGTATGGTAAGGCCGTTGCTCAGATGAGGTCCTTTCCTGATTATCACAATGTTGAGCCATTAAAAAACCCTGAATGTAGCGTGGTAGAAAGTATTGGAAGAAGGAACTTTGTTTGACATGAAGATTATGTATCCTCTTTAACCCCCACCTCCCAGTTTGTAAAATTTGCCCACGAGATTAATGTCTATGCCAACACCCAGGAAAAATATTTTTAAGAATCTCCTGCATAAGAAGGGCCCTGATAGATCTGACTTAGGTCCCCATAATCCAGCCCTCTGCTTCACCTGGCCTCACAAATGCTGCTCAGATATGCTTAAGCAGGGCAGGAAAATGCTGGCTCTTCCACTTGTTCCTTTCAACTTATTATAGGTAGATTGCCTTTGAGAGTGGAGGTTCAATTTTACAATCAAGGAAATCCAAGAACCTTCTTGATGCTTCACATGTGGTTGGAGGAGACTGATTCACCCAGAATTGGGCCCAACATGGCAAGATTATAAATTTTCTAGACTAAATCACGAGACTACCTTAGAAATAAAATGCCATCATCCCATTGTTAGCAGCAGTACTGTAGCAGTTTCCTGACAGTTCTCACTGCTAAACATCTGATTGGTTAATGGAGCCTTTTCCCGACTTGCCCCTTAGATACCATTTACCACTTAGTGCTGAATAAGAGTACTTATTCATCAGCTTTGAAAATTTTGTCATGTGCTGCATTGTTAGGACATTGTCCTCGGACTTTGCCAAAATCTTTTCATCTGCCATTACCAGTTTTAAAATGCTTATCGGAGCACAGAGAATTTGATGTTCAGGAGCTTAGAATCTAGAAAAATAAGGAACTGGAGTTTTCTCTCTAAAATATAATTAGTAGGTATCTGCCTTAACCTCTATGCATAATGTTTCTTTAGATCTAAACTTCAGGTTGGTTTAGCAAGAACAGACAGTGGTAATTGGAGGCCACTATGCCTTTTCAGGAAAATCTGAGGTGATGCCTGAATATTCTCGTTGACCTAAACTGTAGGGGTAAGAGGTGGATCTCAGAAGTGGGTCCTGAACAAACTTCTTGTAGGAAAATTTTTCGTATCAAAAACTTTATCTCGTACTTCATGGCTGGGAAGCCAAATAACCATTTCCCATCATTCAGCAGTCTACTGATCTCACTGCACTGAGTGTATTTGAAATGGCTGTCTTCCAGTCATTGCTTTCATCTATTGGGGCTATTTTTTTTAAAATAGAGGGGGAGAAAAAAATCTTTAACTATGTTTGAATGATTGCCTTTCAGTTTCCACATTCAGTTATAGACTCTGCATTTTGGGGGCCCTGAAGCTTGAACTTTTATAGGGGGACCTACAGAACCAGCAAAGAGATCTGGGTAACCACTGTTATCTCCTTCGGTGGAGTTGTTCCATGACAGACCACCACTATGTTTTTTTAAAATATGGACTGAAGTCACTTGTGAAGCCTTTCTGGAATTAGGGATTCTGAAACTTCAGCTTCCTTCATTTCATAGTAGATTCTTCACCACCACCATCCCGGCCGCGTTCATCTACGTGGTACCTGTCTTCCTGGAGTATAATGTTCAACATGAATCCATAATTCATGATGGTTAGTTTGTGGCCTCCTTTTTGCTATTTTTGGATAGTAATTTTTTTAAAAAAAACAGTGATAGCAGTTGGGCAGTCAACTGTTGTATCAAGGTAACTTGTGTAAGCATTTTGTAGGGTGGTGGTAGTTAAAAAACCTCTGGACCGTGGTCTGCAAATTGCTTGTGTAAAGAACAAATGTTAGCTGCTGGTGTCATTTTCTCTTTAGTGAACAGGCCAGGAAAGTAAGCTAGTCAATCTTTTAAAAAATTAAATGATTCCCTCATAGGTTCATAGGGAATAATGTAGAAAGCGTTGATGTACTTTTGGTTTCAAGCTCATTTTTTCAGCTAGCTTCACCTCCGACTCTGCTAGCATTTGAAGTTATGAGGGCAGAACCATGGATTACTACCGTACAGTTGTTTCCACATGGGATCCATCCTTCGGTGTCCTGCAAGGGGAAGTATTCTGACCAGCACGAAGAAGACGGATTTTGCCTGCATGGAAGCTCGGGTACTTTTCATAATTCCCCAAGATACTGCTTTCCAAAGTAAAATTGTACAGTATTTATTTTGGTTAGGACAGGTTCTTTTCTAACATGCAGGTCTTCTAGTGCCTGTGGTGGCGAAAACACCATAGACCACCAGAAAGACAAATAAATGGGTCCCAGACCAAATCAATCCTAAACTTTCTAAATACAAAAATGACAAAACTGAGGCTTGTTGTACTTTGGACACATCCATCACGACAAGGCAAGACCCATTGGAAAAGACAATGTCTGGAGAAGTTGAAGGCCATAAGAAAGGAGGAAGACCCAAAATGAGATGGGTAAGACTTAATAAATGGACCCACAGCCTAGAGCAGTCCTTAGCAGGGCTTTTACTAAACGGATCTCTTGCATCTCACCCATTCATAAGAATGCTGTAAGGTGAAAGCTCCTTGACAGAACAATAACCAGGTTTTCAAAATTTGTCAAATAACCTCTGGGGGAATAGGAGTTTGTATATTATTTTCTCAGACAATGAGACATGTTTCTCATGCCATTTTAATTAAATAAAAATCTGCATTGATTTAGTTTTAGTCTACTTGATCATCTGAGTACCTTGTTATTATGCATTTTTTGTTTTCATTATAGTTTTATTGTGTTCGGAAGAAAACTGGTTTGTGAATGAGGAATAAACTGAACTGAATGGAAAAACTCTGTTATACTCATTTCTCTCTACTTCAAATCTTCTGTGTGTTTCTTGTCTCTGGCATTTATTGGGTCATTCAATAAATGTTTTGAGCTATTGGTATGTTGGTTTCCCCTCGAATAACTATGATGCAACAAGAGCATAACATCAAACAAAGGAGCATTGTTCTACTGATGAGTGCGATGCTTTCCAAATGGAAATGTTTAAGATTATAAAAACAGGTCACAGCTTTACTAAAGAGGCACAACAGTTCTGTTATAGGAAAAAAAGCTTCTAACATTATAAGACTTAAATTCTATACCTTACTAAGCCAAAACCACATTGAGAAGTAGTACAAAATGTATTGAAATAATAGACAAAATGATCTTGTAGAAAACGTTGCAGCGCTTGGGTGAGGTTGGAAACCAAGAGGGACAACTTTTTTTCCTTTTGGACTACAACCCCCAGAATTCAACTCTGGATTTTTAAAAAAAATTCTCCCTTTCCGGCGCCGACCAATGACCATTCGTAAGGCGACTTCGGCCGCTCCCTCGGAAAGCCCGGCGACGGATTGGCGGGACTTTTCGGGTCGCCCTGCCAGGAGACTGGCGTGGCTTCAGTCACGTGGGAGGAAGAGCGCGGCGCCCGCCCGCCCGCCATAACGCGAGAGGAAGGTAAGGAGGAGCAGGGGTGGCATTTGGAGGGCGAGTCAACTGGGCGAAGGCGGTGGGAGCTGCGAGTGCGCGATTGGGGGCGGAAAATAAGCTTCCCCAGCCCTACAAGAAAGGGGGCCGGGAGGGAAGAGCCCCGTGGCTTCAGGGCAGGGGAGCCCCGAGGCAGAAGGGCTTTTGTGGGTGAGAAAAGAAAGAGGCAGGCTGCGGAGAGACAGACAGACATTTTGCAACGCAGGGCGAGAGGAGGGGGGTCCCCCGTTCCCCACAGGCTGCCTCACCGTTTGGATTTTACGCCTCTTTCAAATGTGGGTGCTTAATTGGGTGCTTCTGGTTCTGCTTGCCTAAGGTCACCTGCAAGAGTCCAGCTAGCAGGGTATGCCTGGCGGTGCCCGGTGGAAACGGCCCCCTTCTAGGAAATCAGCCTTTAGTGCACCTTAATTACTGGATAATTAAGTGATTTAGGTCTCTGGCTTCGAAACCAGAGATTGGGAGTTCGATTCCCCCACTGAGCCTCCTTGACAGGGGCTGGATTCCATAGATCCATAGGGTCCTATTATTATTATTATTATTATTATTATTATTATTATTATTATTATTATTATTATTATTATGATTATTTATTAAAGAACTAGGAATCCAGTGATACGGGTCAGGATTGGGCACATACAACAGTGCTGAAATCAAAAGATGAGCCCAGAAAGGGAGGGGATGCTATACGGACCTCTTTTTTGTGCGTTTTTCTCCCATCTTCCCTGGAAAAAAAAAAGGAGGGTGGTTGTGAATTGGGAAGGGGAAGATTGTGAGACGTTTCTTTTATGACCGTGCAAAGAAAGTGAGCCGTTTGCCTGAGAAATAGTAATGGAGAACTTGTCGCTGTTTGTATGTTGTCTGACTCCGAACCCCATCCGCCCCAGCAGGTCAAGGCCAAGTCAGGAAAGATGAGAGATGTTGACCAACTGTGTGTTCACAGCCCCTCCCCAAATCCTGGTCCAAGGATTTACAGTATCCTCAAGATAGCCATTTGCATCCCAGAATTATTTTTCCACTGCCACTCCCACTGCACAAACATGGTTTCTTGCAGACTTCCAACATGTTTTATTAATTTCTAAATGCCACATTTGAACCAACTATATAGTGCCATTTTTGATTATGTTACTATGTTTTTATGGAAATGAATTGGGTGGGAGTTGTGGGGTTTCTTATTTGTACACCGCCCAGAGTTGTGAGAATTCACTAATTGGTTGGTATATAAATTAATTTGAATAAATGAATGACTCTCGAGGTAAGAGCCATGTTGCATGTCAGACTGAAGGCTACCTGGTCCAGTACTCTGTTTATACTGTGGTCAATCAATACTGATTCTGCATGTCAAAGCAACAACTCTGTGTTTTCCTGTTTCACTACTGTTGTGTTAGGTTATTTTGTTCTTTTAACTAAGCAGTACTCCCGTTATTTATCAGTTGATCTCTATCCCATTCGATGCCATTTGAACTATGGTTAGCTTTAATCTGCAAGTCATGGTTTGAAAACAACTTTCAGGAGATTAAGGAGGGAACTACCCTTTCTGAATGCACAAGAGAAGTGTGTCACCCCATTGCTAGCTCCAGATGCCCTTCAAAACTCAGATTTGAGAAAAATTGTTTTAACTGAACCAGAAGCTGTGTAGTATTGCCACCCACCAATGACTTTCTATGGCCAAGTTGGGGATTTGAACTCAAGTCTTTTTGGGAGCTTGCAAACAGAGAAGGCATCTGCATGGATTTGTCCATTTTGATTAGCGGAGAACTGCTTGGTTCTGATTCTGAATCCCACCTGAATATCTTTGTATTCTTGGCCAGGTTTTTTGTTTATCAGGCCGTGTTTGATCTCCTGGACTAAGTGAGACCCAGATTCCCTCATCTTGGAGAAAATGGAAGTAACAGCACAGTGCAACACAGGTGAGACAACAGCACATGCTACAAAAATATGTATATGTGTTGTGCTCTGACGCAGAGGTCTGGAACATGTGTTGTTGTACTGAAGGTCCCATCAATTTTAGCCAGCATAGCATGTGGCTACAGATAAGGAGTATAGCAGTCCAACAGCATCTAGTGGCCATTTTTTCGCTTCCCCTCCTGTAGAGACAGGCATTACTAAATCCAGAACTCCTCTTCTTCTGGGTATTTTCAAAAACCAACTCGAGACCTTGTTATATAGACAGGCCTTCCCTCCGGACACTACGTAATTCTCTGTCTTTATCTTTATTTATTCTGTTTTGTGTTAATGTTGGAAATTGTTATTTTATATTAATTGTTTTTATTACGTGTTTTGTGAGCCGCTCAGAGTAGACTATGTCTAAATGGGCGGCATATAAGCTCAATCAATCAATCAATTCTGCCTGAATGTGAGTATTAGCTTAGGATAGCTAGTTTGCTTATTTTCTTGTGGGAATTGTTCTGGCCTCTGGATCTTTCAAATACTTATTTGCTCCAGAACCTACCATATCGGCTGCTTTTCAGACTTTTGAAACAGTTGGGAAATTTATTTGTTTCTGGTTTTTTTTTTTACTTCGTTCTGCAGCATCTTCAATAAAATAATATATTTTTACTGCATTTTAGTTATTTGGGGGAAAGAGGGTTGTTAGTACTAAGGAAGGGCCTTGCTTCAGTCACCTACTGAATACTTTATATTTTGTGCGTGTTTTAGTATTCCTACCTGGCAGGTTTGAAGTACAGGCAAAAATGCTTAACCTTGTGAATTTTTGAAGTCTCGCTGGATCACTGACGAGTGACTCAGAGTGTTGGGAGGGGGCCTGGGCAGCCATCAGCACATCTGGCTCTCCTGGAAGTTATCCACACCAGGAATGTTTGGGCAGTGTAGCATTAAGCTCTATAGCAGGGCTGGGGAGACATGGCTAGAATGTGACCCGCCTCATCATTAGGCAAATGGCAGCAGATGATAGGAGATGCAATTTAATGACTTTTGAAGGCCCATGCCTTGTCCAGAGATCTGTTGTCAAATACAGTGGTGCCTCGCAAGACGAATGTAATTCATTCCGCAAGTAGCGCTGTCTTGCGAAAAAATCGTTTTGCGAAAAGCAACTTCCCATAGGAATGTATTGCAAGACGAATGAATTTTGTTATCTTGCGAGGCATTGGTCTCTTGGGGGGGAACGTCTTGCAAAACACGGCCATAGAAGAAGCCGTCTTGCAAGGCACCATAGCGATCGAAAAAACCATTCGTCTTGCAGTTTTTTTGTCCCACAAGGCATTCGTCTTGCAATGCACCACTGTATGTATCTCCTAGGAGGTCACTCTTCCCTTCTTAACCCTGTTTTTCACTTTCTTTTCCTCTTACCAAGAGTTTCCTAATATGATGGTCAAGGTGGAACAAGAAGAGGAGCTACCTGGCCAAGATCAGTGGAAGTTGGAGACCTCCTCAGGTACCAACACAGGTGACATATCCTCAATACAGTTTTGTGACTGTTCATTCTCATTGACCAAAATCCTCTTGCCTAGTTATGCTGGTGTAACACGGAGGGTGTAACTTTTGAAGGTGAATTGTCTCAGATTAGGAAATTGCTGTAGATACTGTCTGTTGCATACTACGTTGTGTGACTGATAATATCTGTGGTGACTTCTTAACTTGGGGCAACTTGCCTCTGAAAGCTATGCTACTTGTGTAGCTGTGTAAGAGGATTTTGGCCATTATTTCACGTGTATGAAGAATTTGTGTAATTTTCAGTCCATTTTTTTGAACTTTCTACCTTTCTGATTTCATTGCTGTTGTTGTTTTTTCTCTACACATACACATGCGTGTCTCTGTGTATGAATGGGCAGAGAGAGACACAAGCACATCAACCTATTGCTTGTTCATCTGTTTTAGCAGCAACAGCATAGTCATGCCATCTCTTAAAGGCCACTTCAAACAACATAGCAGCTGTGATAGACAATAGGTGCCTTTCTAAAATGGTCCTCCATTGTCTTGTTTTGTCCCCTTTGCAGAAGGTGCAGTGGTGTCTCTGCCTCAATGTGGAGAGAAGAGGAATGGAGAGCAAACGGCTGCAGAAAGACCGGCTCAGGTAGGAGTTATGTTGTTTCTGAAAATGCTCTGGTTCAAAGAGTGGCAGAGATCATGTTCATTCCTATATGCACAGAACTACCTACCTAATATTCTGCAGGTGTTCTGAATTTGAGAAAAAGCCTGTGAGATCTTCTGACTCAGGGAGAAAAAGGAGTCTTCGTCCAAGCCCTCTCCCCAGGAGAAGCAGTTGGGGACTGGATTCTGCAAGAAAGACATCCTTTATGCAAGCTGTGGTTTGCATCTTCCCTGTGTGTCAACACTTAGGAAGCTTGCAATGTAATGAACAGTGCAAAACCTGTCATCATGCACTGCTACTCACAACTGTGGCGTGGAAATGCCCAATCACACCGAGCACTCCAAAACCGGTATAAAAAATGTCGCTAAAATCATATGCCAACACTTGTAGCAAATTTACATAGTTTTGCACTGCTATCTCCCTGTATTCAGCATTCCGTCCTCCTGTGGGAAACTGTCGGCTCTGATTGGGTTTCTGTATATCGCTCTAATCTTAAACAGTATGTTGGTTTTCATTCATCAGATATGTGGCACAGTTTTATTGGAGTCCTGTAATGTTTTGCATTGCAAACTGAGTTTTGCAGTACCATCCGTGAAGGTGTAGCTGGCATGCTCAAACCTAGAGAGGCAGTATGGATTGGTGTTTAGCATATGAAACTGGACTTTGGGACATCTGCCCTCCTTGGAAACTCTTTGGGTGACCTTCCCCAGCCACACACACTCTCTCAGCCTGCCCTACTCTACAGGCTTGTTGTGAGGAGGAAGTGGGGAGCAAGAGAGATGCATATGCTACTGCCTTGGCTTTCTTGAGAAAGAGCCGGATATAACCATGCAAGAATCGATATGCGAATTGGGATTCCTAATTAACCCTCTGAAAACTGCACTCTGAAGCCCCAAATGCTGTGTCCTCACAAATTTTTTGCCGGTATGCTTTTTGTTGTTGTTGTCAGTAGTAATCTGTATGTACTGCAAAACAGAGCTTGCACTCTTCACTGTTTTGCTGTTGTTAACATATCAAGTTGCCCTTGACTTATAGCAACTCTATGAATGAGTGCTCTCTTGATTATAGCCTGTAGGAGTACTGGTAAGATTTCCAGATTTGGAACGGAGTCTGCACTGTCTTGCATTACTTTGCCAGTAGTTTAAATCTGCTGAGGACTGACACGTTGATTGAATTTGTTGCCCATTTTGGTAAGGCGTATCATATATTTCTGCCATGTTTTGGTAAAAAGTACTGGTGCGCTTTATTCAAGCTTGTTGGGCAGGTTGGCTTTCCTTAGTTTGGTGAGCATCTATTACTGTGTCTGTGTCCCTAACTACAGTGGTGCCTTGCTTAATGGCGATAATCCATTCCAGGAAAATCGCCGTTAAGCGAAAACATCGTAAAGCGAAAATAAAAAGCCCATTGAAACACATTGAAAACCTTTCAGTGCGTTCCAGTAAGCTTAAAACTCACCGTCCAGCGAAGATCCTCCATACGGCGGCCATTTTCGCTGCTTGTATAGTGAGGAATCAGTCCCTAAACACAGCGGGGAGCCATTTTATTTACCCGACAGCCATTTTGAAACCGCCGATCAGCTGTTTAAAAAACAGTTTTGCGAAGAATTCGTTCTTGAAGCAGGGAACCGATCATCACAAAGCGAAATTCCCCCATTTAGACCATCATTTTGCGATCACAATTGCAATCGCAAAAAGATTGTCGTAAAGCGGATTCGTCGTAATGCAGGGCAATCGTAAAGCGAGGCACCACTGTACTAGAAAAGTTGTGTAATGCAGTCTTAGTTCTGGGATTTGGCTGATAGGCCTTTGCAGCATGTTCCGTGAATGCTTTCCAGGCATCTGGTTGGGCCCCTCTGAATCACAGGAAGCTGGACTAGATGGGCCCTTGACTTGATCCAGCAGGGCTCTTCTTATGTTCTTATCCCTTTACGTAGTGAATGGGGGCTCAAGGGTGGGACTGTGCAGTCTTATCCAGCATGGGTGCTTCGAGATTCTTTCTGTACCTATTGATGGGACTTGCTTTGTGTCCACCTTAATACTCAGTGCATTGTGTTTAAGCAGGGCCAGCTCTATCATTAAGGTATTTCACCACTAGATCCAGGCATGGAGTTAGCTGCAGTTGTCTATGGAGCTCATTTGTTATTACCTGTTTCAAGTTCAGTTAAAACCCAAGAAGGGGACCTTTTAAAGAAGGGATATTCAATGCCTATGGACAATGTTTTAAGTGCCAAGTTAGGTAAAACTGAGTTGACCAATATTTCTACCATGCTTAATAATCCTGTGGAATCTAAAATTGGCTATGACTGATTTGAATGAAAGAACTGGGTTGGACATGGGAGGGGGCTTGCAAAATCCTCATGGATACCTGGACTTGGATATGGAGGAAGTCATGCGCAGCTCCACCAAAAAGTGTATTGAGCTGATTCTGCTCTTAGGTGGGATTTATTGTCATGATGTATCATCTTTAGACATGGGGGTATTCATATTCGTATACAAATACCCTCCACACAGGTGGACATAACAAGGGGTCGTACTGTCCACTCAGTGGTCCGGACTCTCGTTATGTCCACCTGTGCAGGGGTGTTCGTATACGGATATACACATACCCCCATCTCTAGTCATCTTCTGACTCATGGCCATCAGAAAGGGATCTCAATATATATGTGTGCGTTCAAGGAATAGTTTTCTCTTACCAGCCCCTCCCCTGTGGGTTCCTATGGCCGAGCAGAAATTTGAACCCAGGTTTCCTGAGTCCTTGTTTCCTACTGGATCCATTGACTCTCACTGGCTCTCAAATTGTTGTAGTCGTTAATGTGCCTTCAAGTCTCCTCCAACTTACGGCGATCCCATAAATCACTGGTTCTTAACCTTGAGTTACTCAGGAGTTTTGGACTGCAACTCCCAGAAGCCTTCACCACCTGCTGTGCTGACTGGGGTTTCTGGGAGTTGCAGTTCCAAAGCATCTGAGTAACAAAGGTTAAGAACCACTGCCATAAATGAGTGATCTACAAAATGGCTTGTTCTCAGCACTCCTACTCAGCAGCCACTTAAGCCAGTGGTTTCCTTTAGGGAGTCGGTCCATCTTGTATTTGGTCTTCCTTTTTTCCTGCTGCCTTCCATCTTTCCCAGCAGGTCTTTTCTAGAGAATCCTGCCTGCTTGCAATGTGCCAGAACTAGGACAGCCTCAGCTTCAACATTTTTGCCTCCAAAGATAGTTCAGGCTTGATTTGATCTAGGACTCAACTGGCTCAGCTTAAGCAGGATGAATATATTTCAGCTCGTCAAAGATGGTTCCCTCCACCTGCGTTCAGACTTGCTTATAGATTGGACCCAACTGATCTGCTTTTCTTCTCTGTCTGGTCTGTCATTCTGAACGTCGGCTGCTTTGTGGTTGCAGGACCCAGTGGACTTCGAAGATGTGGCTGTGTATTTCACCAAGGAGGAGTGGGGCCTGCTGGATGCAAACCAGAGATCTTTATACTGGGAAGTCATGTTGGACAACTACAAGATTTTGTCCTCTCTTGGTAAGGAACTTGCTTCAGTCTGAATCCCTTCTCGTTCAACCTGAGATTTGATGTTGGTTTCCCCCTCAAACCTATTGACTGCATGCCCTAGGTCTGCCTAATATGACTTGCTCTCTTAACGCTTGGCTTCGCCCTGGCTAGAAGTAGCTTTTCGTGTTCCTCTTTCGAAAGCCGCTCACCTGGCTGTCTGTGGGGGATTAGGGTTTCATCTCAGTGTAGTTAGCTTCACAGTCTGTAGAAGCTGATGACAAGAAGGAAAATGAGTGTTCAGTTACGGGTATTGAGTGAGTGAGTTTGGGGGCTGTGCAGGACCAAGACACATGGCGGGTGAAGGAGCTGCTGCAGTGATTGAAAAATGATTTGTTCATATGTTCCTACCTGAGGAAGGTGTACCTGCAGGATGTGCAAGATGGTTTCTGTGTTGGAAAAGCAGATACAAAGACTTGAGGTTCACCTCTTTGCAGTTTCACTTATCAGGAAATACAAAGAATCTTCTTTTTTTGGGGGGGGGATAGGATAGTTTTTTTTCTAGAAGAGTAAAACAAAGCGAAAAGCAAAGTGTGTTGCACTCTTTGGCTAGTTTACACATTTAATTATGCTGGTTACACATTGTCCCCCGCTAGTGAACTGGGTACTCAGTTTACTGACCCTGGAAGGATGGAAGGCTGAGTCAACCTTGAACTGGCTACCCGAGCCCATTCAGGATTGAGCTCAGGTTGTTCTCTCTTGACTGCAGTACTGCCGTTTAACTGTGCCATGAGGTTCCGTTGGTGATCATCTTAAGTGATGAATAAGAAGGAACGGCAGCAGGCAGGGGCTCAAGAGCGTAGAGCTGGTCACGTTTATTCTAGACTACAACCAACTCCCAGAATCCCTCAGTCATCACGGCCAGTGGAAGATTCTGGGGAGGTGAACCAAAAGAAGTTATGTTCTCAAGATCTGTAAGAACTGAATGCACAGGAAGAGGATGCTTCAGGAAGAACTTTCACTTTGTTTGGACAGTGATTCTGGATGACTGAAACAGGGCTAGTACTCATAAACATCAGAGTCTCATGGATAGAAGTGTTCCAGCCCCTTCCTGGAGGAAGAGGAGGTGTGTGCTGTTGATATTGACGCATGTATGTTGTCTTCGTCAGTTTCCTGGTTCCTTGTTGTGACAGTGAGGTTGCCAAGGCTCGCCAGAACCATGGACAGCAACCAGTTTCTCCTGGAAAGAAGGCATCCTGCCGAACAGAATCTTCCACATGTTGCAAGTGATTTTCAGAGCTCTGAAAGGAAGGGTCATCAGGCAAAGGTGTTTTATTTCATCCCTCCTCTTGTTGAAAGTCCTGGTGGAGAGAGAGGACGAGTGGGAGTGAATAATGGGCTCCACAGAGGGTGGTGTCAAAGAAGGGTTCGCGGGTTGGACTGTAGTCTCAAGAAGCCAAGGTGATAAGGATTTCTGGCAAGAAAGGAGTTGTGCCTCCCAAAGACAGGAAGAAGGTGTTTAGCATCTCACCTGTGCATCTCACAGATCTGTTCTGAGGAAAGCCAATATCCTAAAAAAAAAAGAGGGGATAGCAACTGCTGGAGACAAGTAAAACAAAGCTGTACAGGAAACCAGGACTGGAATGTGGGAGTCCACTAATGGGCATCAGAAAAAAAAAATCAAAGCTGGGGCCAAAAGGAACGACACTTGGTTTCAGATGTACGGGAAAAGCAAAGTGAACTTCTAACATAGGAGGGCTACCTCCTGGGTGAGATTCGTGGCTGGAGTGTAGTGACTAGAGGTTGTCACTTTCCTAAAAGGAATGAATTGAACAGACTGGAAGAAAGAGTAGCATTATAATTAAAATATGTGGTCACTTGCAGAGCGATCTATGGCTTAGGAGCATGGAGGTCCAGCTGAAAGCATTTGAGTAAAAATTGTCAGTGGAAGAAACAAGGCTGATGCCATGGTGGGGGTCTGATCTCCATGCTAGACCAAGGACCTGTATGTTTTTTTTTCTAGATCAGATTACCAAAGATTGAAAAATGAGAAATATAGTAGCAAGGAAAAGCATCCGTTACCCTGGGTATCAGATGTAGTAGAATTATTTGAAGAATATAAACTTCATCATACTCTTCACCTTCCATGCTGACAATTTCATCTTCAAGGAAGTAGAATAGATAGTGAGGGGATCAATTTTTATAGACCTCATCCTGACTCACTGGATAGAGTTGATGGAAGTATTCCCGCAGGGCAGATTGGGTATCTTCTCTCCCAAACCCAGAGTAAAGGATCTTTACCTCTGAAGCAGTTATATATGACCTTCCCACCATATAGAAGGCCAGGTAGCATGGCTTCCTAGACTCCAGTTGGGATGAGCTAAAATAACCCAGTGTGGATAAAAATCAATGCTTTTTTTAAAAAATCAACTTGGTTTAAATGAAAATTTTTTTAAAATGGATAAAAATCAATGCTTTTTTAAAAAAATCAACTTGGTTTAAATGAAAAAAAAAGATTTTTAAAAAATTGTCAAAAGACTTTTTTAAATAATCAAAAATCAGATTTTTAAACATTTAAATTGCAATTTAAATCATTATTTAAATCAATTTGATTTCAATCAAATGCACCCTGAAATAACCACATTTTATTGTAACAGTAAAACAGATTTTAAAGGAATGTACAACAAATCAACAATATAGCACTTCAGTGAAGTTAAAATGCAATCTAAATACATTTTTGTTAAAAATCTTAACTAGCTGTGTTTGATTCCACCCACCTTCCATGAAATCTGAGTCCATGTAGAGATGGTGCATGAAATCCTGTTGAGCAGAATAGAAATTAGGAAGGGTGTATAAAAGCAAAGAACATCAGCTTTCACTTTGGCAGAGAAGATACTGCAAGTGTTGCTAATGAAACCAAATGACGTTTGTAGAGAAAAAGAAGTTTGGCAGATAATCTGGGAAATGAGAGAGAACCTGGAGAAGGGGGGGGGAGTCTGACCGCTAAGTAAAAAGATCTGTACTGAAAGATAAATACAGATAGAATTTGAAAGAGTTCTACAAAGCTCTTCATTAGCTAAAGAGATTGTAAAACATAGAGTTCAGGCAAGCAGTTTTGAAATGTGAGTGCATTGTCTTTGGGGTGTTGGAGATGCATCAGTTCAGTGCCAAAATAAAATTTCCATTGTTTCTTTTAGAAGAAACAAATTTGCACTATTTATTTGAATTGGGTTCTGTGGGATTTCTTCAACTTTTACAGCTTGCCTAGAATTTCTGTCTTCTAGATCTCCTTTTCCTATTATTTATTCTGTTACCTAATACCAGCTGGCCAAAGTCCTTACTTAGCATATTAAATGGCACTAGAGTAGTCAATGGAATCAATGGGGATTTATTAAGTTAACTCCTCCCTAAGTTCCATTGATGTAAATGGTCCTTCTCTAACTGTGACTTGCTATGTTTAAAGTAAGTTGTTTTTTAGGACCACAGGAATCAGTGAAACTTACAGAGGAGTCGACACACTAAATTCCCACTGATTCAAGTAGGTGTACTTGCTAGGTTAAGCAAGAGGATTTGGACTATTGTTTCACTCATTTGGAGAAGGAAACCCATTTATCTTTATTTCAGTAGGAAGATTATGATTTCTTCCAAAGGCATTTATCAAGAGTGCATCTCATTATCAGTTAGATTACTTGGTTGTCTCAGTTTTGGATGTCTGGATTCTGTTGTCTCCTCCACCATGGGGAAGGTATCTGCTTTTAAAGATTATTAGACAAATTTGTCTAATGGCAAGAGGTGTTCCAGCACTAGAATGGGCTTCCTCAAAATTTGAATTGATAGCCTTTCCTTTTATTAAAATTAGTTCCTTATACACATACATTGGCTTTGAATTTACTGCTTAGATTTGATGCACCTTGAGGTCATCATTACCGTTTCCAACTACCTCTGTGTGTCAAAACTGTCTTCTCAGTTTGTTCGTCATCCCCAGGTTCTTGTAGTCAATCATAGTGATGATCTTCATCACTGTCATGACTGACAATTATTTATTTTATTTAACGTGCCCTTAGACTCCCCGGGAACCAAGGATCTCAGGCTGCCTAAAATACATGCGCATGGCATTAGAAATAAAAAATGTAAGTAGCAATTCAGTAGTGAAATACAATACCTCAACTAGCCAAGTCAAAAACAGTATGAAGGAATAAAAAGATGAATGCATGTGAAACCAAAACACAATCAGCGGCAAGATAGAAGAGTGATGATGTCTAAAAAATTATATAAATTTATATAAATTATAAAAATGCAAAAGTGGTAGAATAGAAAAGCATTCAGGAGATTAAAGGACCAGAATGTAAGGGAAGTGGGCAAAGTAACATAGTATTTCTTTTTTAAAAAAAACAATTCATTTCAGCATCGTCTTAATTTGTTCATTCTCTTTTCTGCCCACTGAGGTTCCTTACCTTGCAGACTTGGGATTCAACCTTGTCTGTGTTTGTCCTTATTCTCAACAGATAACTGGAGAGGAATGAACATGTGCACCAAGTGGCCTCAGGAAGCAGATACAGGGGAGAAACCCTACAAATGCCATGAGTGTGGGGAATGTTTTGCTCACAGTTTGGATCTTGTGACCCATCAGACAGTCCACATGGGAGAGAAACCACACAAATGCCAGGAATGTGGGAAATATTTTGCTTCAGATAAACTGCTCGGGACCCATCAGAAAGTCCACATACGGGGTAAACCCTTCAAATGCCAGGAGTGTGGAAAATGTTTTTCTTGCGATTCACAACTTATGACCCACCAGAGAGTCCACACAGGAGAGAAACCATTCAAATGCCAGCTGTGTGGGAAATGTTTTGCTCAGAATTCACAACTTAAACCTCACTGGGCAGTCCATACAGGAGAAAAACCCCATAAATGCCTGGAATGTGGAAAAGGTTTTGCTTACCATTCAAAGCTTTTGATACATCAGAGAGTTCATACAGGAGAAAAACCCTACAAATGCCAGGAGTGTGGAAAATCTTTTGCTTACAAGACTGATCTTGTGACACATCACAAAGTCCACACAGGAGAAAAGCCATACAAGTGCCAGCAGTGTGGAAAATGTTTTGCTTGCAAAAAACGGCTGCTGATGCACCAGAGAGTCCACACAGGAGAGAAACCATATAAGTGTCCAGCTTGTGGGAAATGTTTTGCTCAGAATTCACAACGTGCTAGTCATCTTAAAGTCCACACGGGAGAGAAAACGCATGAATGTCAGGAGTGTGGAAAATTTTTCCCTTACAATTCAACACTTGTTCGGCACCAGAGAGTCCATGCAGGAGCAAAGCCGTTAAAGTGACAGAAGTCTTGAAAAGGTTTTATTCACAAATCACATCAGAGTCCGCTCAGGAGAGGAACCTTAAAATGTTAAGAGTCTGGGAATCGTTTGGTTCATGAGGCAGGCACCGTGAGGCCCTAGATAGTTAGTGCCTAGAAGGAGAAACCTTAGAAATGCCAGAAATGTAGGAAGGGTTTGCTTGGACAACAAATTTTGTGAACTAGAGAATCCATAGAACAGAGACCCCTTATCAGTGCTGTGATTGGAAGAAATTTCAAAATAATGTGTCAGGGGATGCCTGACCTAAATGGAAGGACTGTATAAAGGGAACACATTTCCTTGCCATTCAGTATTTCAGTAAATCTGCATCTCTAGGAAGCAAAAAAAGCCTGTTAATGATCTGAGTGTGAAACATATTTGCTTATTTCCTGCATTTTAAGAGGCCTCTGAGAACTTTGTTCAAAGGAGTCAACATCTGGAAAACGTTTGTCATGTCTTAGATTTTGTAATCTAAAAAAGAAACCTCTTCATTGCCTTGCCCTGAGTAGTTACACTTAGCAAATGACAAGGCCCTCAATGTGAAAGAAGTCATTTGAATATAGTGAGCTTTGGTGGGAAACAGCATTGCAGTTGAGCAACCTGTGAATCATCCTCAGAATCTCTACAGAATTGGGGGAAGTTCTTGGAAAAGTGAGTACAACTCCCCAATTCCCACTGGTTGTGCTGGGTAGGGATTTTGGAAGTTTTAATCCAAAAAGCTAAGTTTTTGCAGTTCTGAGGGAAGAGCTTTGCTCCCTTCCAGCCCTTGTTGTGAAATGTCACTGAAGAAAGACACGGTGGAATTGCTTGGAATACACAAGAAGGTGCAAGAAGAAGCCAGACTTTCTTTGCTGTGAAAGACTCTCTGTGATGTCATAATTATTGGGAGAAAGGCAGCCTATAAATAAAATGAGACAAAATAAAATAAATAATAAAATGTTTCCGTAGAAGAACATCACTTCTGCGAACCATCATGAGAACCTTCCCATATTCTGCTCTCAACATTGACCAGGCAGATGCTTCTGAAAAATTCACAGGCAGAGCAGGACATGTCTTGTGTTAATGTGTAATATTGCCTGTGGTAATGGAATTTGCGTTCATCTAGTGACCCTACCTGGTCCCCATTCTCCGTGTCTCCGGTTTCAGCCAGAGGGCAGTACTTCTGAGGGTGGTGTTTCTTTGTGGGTAACAACACCTCTACCAAGGTGTCAGAAGAACGTATATTGCAAGCAAAAGATCTTTACAAACATCTTCTAAACTCACAAGCGCCCATCTACAAATGCTTTTTGGGATGAACGAAATTTGATCCTCAGAAGCTTGAGAGTCAAGTGAACCAGGGAACTGGAATGTTATGTATAATATATTAATCTTTGGGAAATTTCCTTTAGCTCTATTTTCTGTCTTCATTTATTTCTGTATTCTTCATTTCTTTTTATTCAAAATTAAGTCTGTGCAGAGAGATGGACGTTCTCGGTATATAGGACTTCACTTTGACTTTTTAGAAAAAAACTCAGTATGTTTCATACGTTACAATAAATTATGTTCTTTTTTGGGCTTAAACAGATACATTGTGTTATTGAATTCCTTCTTCTAGTAAAGGTATTTCATTCCTAAAAAGACAAAACACCCAGCATCCATCACACAGTGGTTGAAAGGTCTTCACTGATATTTGAATGTTTATCTTACAGTCATCAGTCATTAATTTGGAGATGAATCGATAGGTATAATTATTAGGTGTTGTCAAGTTAATCCAGTTTATGGTGATCCTCTCAGGGTTTTCTAGGTTTAAATTATTCAGTAGTGATTTCCCCTCTCCTGGATATAGAAGAGGTAGCCGTGTTAGTCTGTGCTAGCATATCAGACAAAAACAAAATAAAAATAAAGGAGACAAAAGTGTTGTGGCACCTTAAAGACTAACTGGTATATTTTAATGTGAGCTTTTTTGGACAAGTCAATTTCCTTGTGGACTACATGGCAAAAGTACATGGCTCCAAATCAGTGACTTGAGTTTGGGCACACGTTATTATCTGGCAACGACCTTTATTGATAATCAGTTTCCTTCTCAGGAAGCATTGTTCTGTAAACAGTGACAATGACGGGTGTCTCAATTAATCCTAGGCTTTTGGTATCAGGACCAGTATGGTATGAGCATCTCGAATCAACAATGGGTCTTGAGAGGTGGCAATGGTATATAGTAAAGAAATGGCATATGAGTTGTTGGATGGTTCAGTGGCATTGTTCTGTAAACAATGACTGTAATGGATGCCTAAATTAATCCCAGGCTCCTGGTGGCGCTGTGGAATTGGGCAAGTTACCCTGGGTTGTAGGGGTGGCAAGACTTGTAACCCCTCAATCAAAGTGATCCAGATGTTCTCATCAGACTCACTGAGGGAAGCTCAGTGGGGCTTTAAACTCCTTGTCCCTTCCTCTGCAGCCAGGCACCCCAAACCACTGTGGTTTGTATTAATTCAGATGAATAACTCATAACATTGGTTTTCTACTACAGTGGTGCCTCGCACAGCGAGGTTAATCCGTTCCAGATTAACCCTTGCTGTGTGAAAACATCGCTGAGCGGGGCAGAAAAGCCCATTGGAATGCATTAAACAAAGATGGCCCACGTATGGCAAGTGGTTGCTGTAGCATGCTGGGTAAGCGGTTCAGTGGTGATCTTGACCTCTCCCTCCGATCCCCCCCAAATGGCCTGCTGACTTTCACTCTTTCATTGTCTGCTCAGGGGCTCCAACGGAGCATCTGTAGTCCGGGATTGTTCCCAGCCCTTGTGCCAACCCAGTTAATGACTCACCTCCTCAGCCAGCACCTTCATACAGTGGTGCCCTGCATAGCGACGTTAATCCATTCTGGTAATAATAATAATAATAATAATAATAATAATAATAATAATAATAATAATAATAATAATAATAATAATAATAATAATAATAATAATAATAATAATAATAATAATAATAATAATAATAATAATAATAATAATAATAATAATAATAATAATAATAATAATAATAATAATAATAATAATAATAATAATAATAATAATAATAATAATAATAATAATAATAATAATAATAATAATAATAATAATAATAATAATAATAATAATAATAATAATATGGGGAAGATGGTTGAAAGCTTCAGATCCTGTTCAACCCATTTGAAGATGGTTGCAGGGACAGGCTGGTGTAACTATCCATCCCATTCTTCCATTTTGCTGCTAGTCTGAGATGAACCTACTTGCTCTCTAAATTCACATTTCAAAATTAAACTGTTGCCTCTTTAGTTTAGAAGATGATAGTAAACTTGTATCTTCATCATGTTGTTGGACAGTGTGTGAACTAAGTCTTCAGAGCACTATGTAATATATAACACTTCTTGACCATTCAGCCTGTGACGTTTGTCACAGCTAACAATCCTTGTGTTGGAATTTGTTTGCATTGCAATCCAGATGATCTGTTGTACACGAGTAAGTAACCTTTGTCCCTCTGAATGTCCTTCAAATGTTTCCCCCCCAGAAGCACACAGAGTGACCGGAATAGTTACTCTTTTTTTCCTTGGACATGCCAAAAGGCTAATTAAACTTAAGGGAGCATCCAAAGAGTTGGTAGATTCACTGAAATTCTGGTACTGTGTAAACTATAGGATGTATAGTGTGAAAACTATAGGATGTGCACCATGTCTCCTCCTGTGCATGAAGGACAGTTGAATAGGAAGCACAAGCTAGTAGTTCTGCTGGAGAGGAAGATAAAAGTGCCAAAGGCAGAACCATCCGCATACCAGTTAATTAAAGAAGGTACAAGATTTTTAGATAAGAGGCAGGAATCCCTTGTGAAACAGAATCAGACAACAGAGTTTTTCAAGGGGAAAGACAGGTTGTGGAAGAATGAAATACCTATATAGGAAACAGGACCCTACAGCAGTGGTCCCCAACCTTTTTGGCACCATGGACCGGTTTAGCGTGTGGGGGGCATGCATGCGTCTGTGTGTGGGGCATGCAGGCATGTATGTGGGGTGGTGTTCGTGCATGGGGTGTGTGCATGCGTCTGTGCATGTGGGGACATGCATCTGTGCATGTGGGGGGCATGCATGTGTCTGTGCATGTGGGGAGGTGGGAGATCTGTCTCTGCAGCCTGGTCCTGCCAAGGCCACGCCCAGTATCGGGCCGTGGACTGGGGGTTGGGGACCCCTGCCTTAGGGTATTTTAGTTTCTTATATTTTTGACTTAAGAACTTCAGTATTTAAAGAGATTTACTCTCTGCTTTTTGGTTGTGCCTTTTAGGCCATAAGTCCCTGCATGTTTAGAATGTAATGAAAACATTCTTGTTGTTATTTTTATCATACCTTTTATGCTTCTGCTTTTCTGGCTTGAGATCTGATTGCCTGCACCTTTAAGTTTAATATTTGTAGATTTGTCAGCATTTGCACCTACAGTTTTTTTCATAGCTATAAGACTGAGTTTTATACAATGAATTAAATGTGTCTGTGACTTCTCAAATGTTACATGTTTTCAATGGTTTTTGAATTATAATTTTGGATTTTGATGCATAGAAGCAATTAGATGAATAAAACTTGCAAATTGGGCAACGGATGTTGCCTTGAATAACTTATTTGCTTGAGAAAACTAGAATGAATAATATGGATGTCTAGAGAAGACTTAATTTATCATGAGTACAATAATGGGTCAAGCCGATCCTTTAAACTACTTGAGACCCAAATGAATATTGATGTGACTGAAAGGGGTGATCTGATCTCACACTGGCATTAACCCGTACAATGATAAGTGCCCATTGTGATGGTTCCTCACAGACTCAAAACTACTAAGGAGTGTTATAAATCTCTTATGGTGCTCTGAAAACTTTGTTCCAGTGTCTTTGACTTTGACATCTTAATTTTTCAACAAAGCTCCTTTTTTTTTTGGTATTTCTTGCTATGGGGGGGTGGCACTGTATGTTTAAGAAAGGCACTCATTTCCTAACTGGGCCTTACACTAGGTGCTTGAATGAAGTTGCAAGTTTTACAGGAATTTCTAAATAACTTTAGCAATGGGAGGTGAATGCTATTTTAATATACTGTTCAAAATTTTACTGTTCTTACTGGAAAATTGCTATACAGTCGTGCCCTGCTTAACGATTACCCTGCATTACGACGAATCTACTTCATGATGATGTTGCTATCGCAAAACGATATTTTAAATGGTTTTTTTTCCCTTTGCGAAGATCGGTTCCCTGCTTCGGGAACCGATTCTTCGCATTACGACGATCAAAACAGCTGATCATCGGGTTTTCAAAATGGCTGCCAGGTGCTCAAAATGGCTCCCCGCTGTGCTTAGGGACGGATTCCTCGCTATACAGGCACCGAAAATGGCTGCCGTATGGAAGATCTTCGCTGGAAGTTGAGTTTTTAGCCCATTGGAACGCATTAACTGGGGTTTAATTTGTTTAAATGGGTTTTTTATTTTCGCTTTATGACGTTTTCGCTCTACAGCGATTTTGCTGGAACAAATTAATGTCGTTAAGCGAGGCACCACTGTACTTATTTGCCTATATAGGATCTGATGATGGCTCATAACTAAATGTAGATTAAATACTATAGTTGATGGAGGTGAAGGATCTGTACCATTGTGGGGTAGATAGATAGATTTATCCCAGTCAAATGCCGGAAAATTGGGTCTAGCTAAATTCTTTCTTGAATGACCATTATACAGTGGTGCCCCACATAGCGACGTTAATCCGTTCCAGGATTAATGTCGCTATCCAGAATCCTCACTAAACGGAAAGAAAAACCCCATAGGAACGTATTAAACTCCGTTTAATGCGTTCCTATGGGGGGGGAACTCACCGTTGAGCGAAGATCCTCCATAGCACTGCCATTTTCGCCGCCTCGGTAAGTGAGGGCAGCGCGCGAAAATGCTGCGGCCGGCCATTTTGTGCACTCGCTTACCGATCATCGCAATGCGATTTTCAGCCATTTATATCATCACAATGCGATCGCATTAGCGATTGCAAAAAACACGTTGCTATGCAAATTCGTCATTAAACGGTGTGCTCGTTATGCAAGGCACCACTGTACTTTGGGACAAGGATTCAGTTCATTGAACCGCTTATCTTTGGTTTGATAATGGCAGGCTAGAATCTTGATACATGACCTTCATTATGTAGATTATGTCTTAAGGGTGTTGATATATTCTTATGATCCTTACAGTCTTTCTCTGGTTGAAATCTTATTGTTTGGCGTAATAAGCAGTAATTAGAGTAGGCCCATTGATTCAGTGGAACTTGCTGAAAGGGACCTTAAGGATCATTGAGTCCAGCCTCTGTCAAGGAGGCATAGTGGAGAATTGAACTTCCCACTTCTGACTCTGCAGCCAAATACCTGCTAGCCAGCGGATTATGAAGGAATTGACTCACCCATACCCCTGTGATTCAGTGGGTCTGCTCTACTTGTGACTTAATAGACTAAGCAGCGATATTGCAGGTACTGTTATATCTCATTCCATTACTGCCTTGCCTACCTTGCAAACAGACAACTTGATTCAGTGTTGGAAGGGACGAACGGCTTGTAGTCAGGAGCAAAAGAGTCACTGATCAAAGGAAGATACTGTACACTATTAGGAAGGTTGAAAGAAGTTTGATTCTTTCTGGAGAGTACAAAGAGTGATGACATTACTGTCTCTCCCCAGGTCTGAGCAGGAAAAACAAAGCTATGTGATCTTTATTTTTTAAAAAATATAGGAACTATATGAAGTTAGGAGCGGCTTAACTAAGTGGGTTCCCAGGAAAGAATCTTGTGCTGCTAATATTCATAATTGTTTCCAAGAGTCCATAACTATATTTACAGTGGTGCCTCGCGCAATGGGTGCCTCACACAACGATGAATTCACACAACGATGCCTTTTTCTATTAAATTTGCCGCCTCGCACAACAATGTTTCCTATGGGGAATTTTCACACAACGATGCCTCTTTTTCGTTCCTGTAAAAGTGTCTTACAATGTTTGGAACCTGTTTTAAATGCTTGCAATGGTTAGCCCACCTCCTGAAACCTATGCAAACTTATTTTGGTGTTGTTCTGACACTTCGTTAATTTGTGGTGATTTTTTGTTTTTCCCCTCATTGAAATGCATGGACTTCGCAAAGCCATTGAAATGCATTGAGTCGGCTTCAATGCATTTCAATTGGGGAACTGGGTTTCACTCAACGATGTTTCCTATGGGGATTTTCGCTCAAGGACGGCAGTCCGTTCCAATTGGAACGGATTAACCGGTTTTCAATGCATCCTATGGGAAATGGTGTTTCACAGAACGATGTTTCACACAACGTTGATTTTTTTGGAACCAATTAACATCGTTGTGCGAGGCATCACTGTATATGCATGCATTTATAGCTCACTTTAAAACAACTGTGTCCAGTGCCTTGGTTTTAAGCATGTATTTAGTTATTGACCAGGACGGTAAAGATGGGAATAGCTCTCCAGGGATTGAGAGAGTCTGTTACTCTTTGGAGCAGAACAGAAGGGTTATAGACATTCTGGTGGCCTGATAAAGATAGAATTATTATAAAAAAAGATGATTATATGATAAATCACCCTCATTTCAGTGGGAAAAGAGAGTAAGGCACAAATCAAGATGCTATCCAGATTAGGAGCTTGAGAAATAGCACATTTGATTAAAAAGAGACAAATTCTCTATAGAAAATGTAATAGGCTTTGGCTGGGACAAATTAATTTGTTAACACACAGATACAGTATTCTAAATTTGCCAGATAGGCTATACAGTATAGACGAAAGAGGAAGTCATATTTCCCCCCCAGGCTATTTAAATAATACTACAGGATTCCCTTTAAAGTTGCATGGATCAGGATTTGAAGACTCCCTAGTAAAGACATTTTTTTCTTGACCTTTTTGAAGTGCAATCTTCTGCTGACAGAAATTCTTTATCATAGAAGTTCAGACTATGATCCAGGGTGACAAAACTTTACCAATAGCAGTAACCCAGGACTGCCAGCTGTTCCAATATTTTTTTTGCTTTCTTTCTCAGAAGAGGTGGCAAAATAACTACCTGGGTCTTCAGGTCTTTCACTTTCCTACCCAGATCCTGTAATCTAATTAGAGATGGGCAAGAACCCATCTTGTAATCTAATTAGAGATGTAGATCTTTAATTAGAGGTGGGCAAGAACCGAAGAACTGGTTCGTGCTGGTTTGTTAATCAGCCAAACAGGCTTTCAGCACTTCCCAACCCCTGCACTCAGAGGCAGGATCCTGGCTTCCCTTCCCCACCTTCTTTGGGTGCTGCTTCTGAGTGGGATGCCTGCTAGGAGGAAACGGGGCTTCGAAGCACAAAACCTCTAGTTTGGCTGATAAATGAAGTGGCGCGAACTGATGAACCAGCGGTTCGTGCCCATCTCTAAATGAAGGCTGTGTTAGAAGGAAAAGATACCTAAATACTAGTGACTTGGATAATGCTGGCAGGCTCTGCTGGGAGCTGGATCTTTCCACCAGCGGGACAGATCCGTTCCAGAAATGTCATCTGGGATGTGCAGGCTGCTGTCTTGGTCCCTTTCGGAACAAACCCACCTCTCTGCGGCGCTCTCTGATGCATAGGACAAGTGTTCCTCTTTCAGCAGGGCAGACGTGAGGATCCCAATGTGTGAGCAGGTCCCAGAACTTCCTAAGACACAGTAAGGCTGTGCCATAGCCCTGTTTCTGGGAGTCACGCCGTTCCAAGTGTTTCCCTCCTTCCAGTATTTTTTTAAATATCCTCCTGGGCCAGGATCTTAATTGAGGAGGAGGAGGTTGGATTAAATAAACAGCTGTGTCCTAAGAGCCTTCACTTTCTTCTACCCTAGAGGACTCCCCCTGTTTCTCGTACAGAAGAGTCGCCTCTGCTCTATCCTTAAACACTTCATATTCCAAAACATGGAGAGATGGTCCTTAATTTATCTTATTGTCTGTTCTAGCTGAGCAACAAGCTTGCACTTCCTGCCAGTCTAGCTTTCTATCGCTTTAGGCAGGAAAACAAAGATGGCCCACATGTGGCAAGTGGTTGCTGTTGCATGTTGGGTAAGCGGTTCAGTGGTGATCTTGACCTCTCCCTCCGATCCCCCCCAAATGGCCTGCTGACTTTCACTCTTTCATTGTCTGCTCAGGGGCTCCAACGGAGCATCTGTAGTCCGGGATTGTTCCCAGCCCTTGTTCCAACCCAGTTAATGACTCAACTCCTCAGCCAGCACCTTCGTATCTTGTAACTATTTAACTCCAGGCTCTTTGGCTCACGACTTACAGCAAGCCACTAGTAACTTGTAATAACTCATTTCCCTAATAAAATAATCATAATTTCAACTTAATAAAGGATAATTTCACTTCTTTTGCAGTGTAAATGTAACCTTTTAAATTATTTTGCTGTTCTAGTGGATGGCCTTTTTAAATGATGATGATGATGATGATGATGTACAGTTATCTCTAAGATCCATGCCCTGGTTTGGTAATCAGCTTCATGATTAACCACTTGGAAATTAAAGAGCAGATTTGCCACCCTCCTCTTAAGTCCAAAAGAAGTGTGTGTTAGCCTACAACTAATCATGCCCTTCGCCATAGTTTGAACTGAGGCAGAATTTCTGGATGGCAACCCTGATTTCAGATCAGCTTGTCTTGGAGAAAATGAAACATAGGTCACAGCACAACACAGGTGAGGGGACAAAAACAGAAGTCAAAGGAATGACGTATCAGGACAACACCCAAGCATGGAGACGGTGGGTTGTTTGGAGTGTAATGCCCATGAGCTATACCCAGTGGTGATGGATGATGGTAGCTACAGTCCAGTGGTATCTGCAGAACGATATATTCTTCACCCTTGCTGTAGAGATTTCTTGCCAAATCCAGTTCTCTTCTCACTGGGCTAGCCCTCTCCCTCTTATTCCTGATATTACACTGAACTTACAAGAAGAAGAGGAGCAATGCAGCTTGCATGAAGAGGAATCTGTCACCATCTGGTGCAGTATGATCTCTTCACATGGGTGGGTTTTGGCACCAAAAATATTCAACTATGAGTGATTTGCTAATATCACCCAGAGGTTCGCCAGCCAAGTAGTCCCATCTTTTCTGAAGGGAGCAAACTTTCTAGCATTTATGTTTTTTGCTGTGGTAAGTGTTGTAAGCCATTTGCATTTGATTAGTCAAGGTACTCTCGGTATCCTGCCAGGGTGCGATCATCAATGTAGCTTTGTGAATGATTTCTGCCATTGTTTTACACATATTCTCTTGAAACAAAAGCATCAAATATCATTTCCATTCTGCCCAATTAGTTATTACTTTTCTGGAGGGAGGGAGAGAGAGGTGTTGACCTGCCAGTTCTTAGCCTGTTGCGCTAAAACAGAGCCTGGTGGTGCCTTAAAGGCTCACATATTTATGATGACTTAAACTTCCTTGAATTGGACTCCGCGTCATCAGATGGGTGAAGGGTTATTTTCAATGTTTCCCTGATGCTTCAAGCAATGGATGAAGCAGCCTTGATCCATGAAAGCTTAAGTCATAATAAATTTGTTGGACCTGAAGATAAACACAATATTTTTTTTAAAAAAGATTGCTATTCCTACCTTTTAGTTAAGGCTGACTTAAACTTCCTTGAATTGGACTCCGCTTCATCAGATGGGTGAAGGGTTATTCCTACCTTTTAGTTAAGGAGCCAACACACCGCAATAATGAAGGAAAACCTACTTCCTTTTGAGGGAATATGTTTGACTGTGGAACAGCTCTGACTCTCAGGAACGTTGAGCTGAAATATCCTTTCCTCTAATTTTAATTATCGGCCTCTGTCCCTGCATGATAGGCTTTAAAAGATGGGTAAGATCTTTTTTGGATGAAAAATACCCAACTCCTTTTTAGATATAACCAAGTTTCTCTAGTAAATGGAATAATGAGCAAGCACATAATAAAGCCAAAATAAAACTATCAGCATATTAAAAAGGTGCTACGTTCTAAATGCACTAAAAAGAGTTCTCAAAATGCCTGGAAAGTAAAAGACCATGACATAAGGGCTCAAGGAGATGAGGAAAAGGTAGGGTGAATATTCTCTCTCTCTCTCTCTTTCTGCCTTTTAAACGTTTACCTCACCTTTTCTGCTCCTTACAGTACATTATTTTTAAGAGCTGGGATTCAGTCTTGTCTGTGCTTCTTCTTCCCAGCAGATAAGAAAAAAGATACAGAAATATGCACAAACCAGCAAAAGAGTTCAACAGCTGAATTCGACCTTGGCAGGCACCAGCAAGCCCATGCAGAAGGGGGACATTATAACAAAGATAGACCATATAAATGCCAGCACTGTGGGAGTGGATTTTCTCAGAACTCCCAGCTTGCGCGGCACAAGAAAGTCCACACAGGAGAGAAACCGTACAAATGCTGGCAATGCGGAAAATGTTTTACTTCCAGTTCAGTCCTTGTAGTTCATCAGAGAGTCCACACAGGAGAGAAACCATACAAATGCGGGGAGTGTGGGAAATGCTTTGCTCAGAAGTCGCACCTTATAACACATCAGGGATTCCACCGAGGAGAGAAACCATTCAGATGCCAGGAATGTGGGAAATGTTTCGCTCAAAATTCACACCTCATGACACATCAGGGGCTTCACAGAGGGGAGAAGCCATACAAATGCCAGGAGTGTGGAAAATGTTTTGGTAACAGTTCAAACTTCTTGAGCCACCAAAGAGTCCACACAGGAGAGAAACCATACAAATGCCAGCAGTGTGGAAAATCTTTTGTTCAGAATTCCCACCTTTTGCGCCACCAAAGAGTCCATACAGGAAAGAAATCATACAAATGCCAGCAGTGTGGTGATTCTTTTACTTCCAGTGCAGTCCTGCTAGATCAGGGAGTCCAAATGGAAGGGAAACCACACAATTATCAGGAGTGTGGGAAATGTTTTGATGAGTATTCACAGCTTGTGAGTCACATAGGAGAGAAACCATATAAATGCCTGGTCTGTGGAAAACATTTTCCTTCCATGTCTCTCCTTGTGAATCACCAGATAGTCCACATGGAAACAAAGTCATACAAATGTCAACATTGTGGAAAAAGTTTTGATTCCAGCTCGGGTCTTCTGAAACATCAGAGAGTTCACACAAGAGAAAAACCATTCAAGTGCCAGGAGTGTGAGAAATGTTTTGCTTGGAGAGACAATCTTGTGACTCATCAGCGAGTGCACACAGGAGAGAAACCATACAAATGCCAGGAGTGTGGGAAATGTTTTGTTCAGAAGGCACATCTTGTAAAGCACCAGAGTGTTCACACAGGAGAGAAGCCATTCAAATGCCAGGAGTGTGGAAAATGCTTTGCTTCTAGTTCAGTCCTTGTGAGCCACCAGCGACATCACACAGGAGAAAAACCATACAAATGCCAGGAGTGTGGGAAATCATTTGTTCAGAATGCACAACTTGTGAGGCATCGGAGTGTCCACACAGGGGAGAAACCATACAAATGTGAGGTATGTGGGAAATGTTTTGTTCAGAGTTCACACCTTTTGCGCCACCAGAGAGTCCACATGGGAGAGAAGTCATATAAATGCCAAAGTTGTGGTGAATGGTTCACTTCTGATTCAGTCCTAACGATGCATCAGAGAATCCACACAGAAGATAACCCATACAAATATCAGCACTGTAAGAAATGTTTTGATCAGAACTCCCAGCTTGTGAGCCACCAAGAAGTCCACACTAGAGATAAACCATACAAATGCCAAGAGTGTGGGAAATGTTTTGCATGGAGAGACAATCTTGTGACTCATCAGAGAGGCCACACAGGGGAGAAACCATATAGATGCCAGGAGTGTGGGAAATGTTTTATTCAGAAGGTACACCTTGTGAAGCATAAGAGAGTCCATACAGGAGAGAAACCATTCAAATGCCAGGAGTGTGAGAAATGCTTTGCTTCCAGTACAGTCCTTGTGAGCCACCAAAGGCAACACACAGGGGAGAAGCCATACAAATGTGAGCACTGTGGGAAATGTTTTGTTCAGAATTCGCACCTTGTGAGGCATCAGAGAGTACACACAAGGAGGAAACCATAGAAATGCCAGTGTGTAAAAAGGTTTTTCTTAGGGTTTAACTCAAGAATCACCAGAGAATTCACACAGGTGAGAAAGCATTCAAATGTTGACTTGTGGGAAATTATTTCTTTGGAAAGCCAAACTTGTCGGCGTCTACCAGACAGCTTGTATAAGAGGGAAATCATCTGAAGGATATAACTTTTAAGAGGACTTATATGTTGGAGGGCTGGGAAATTGATTCTTTTAATTAAAGATGTTGATAGTATTTAGTATGGGGACTGAGTGCTTGAGGACTGAGAGACATTTTCTTAATACACCGCCACCCTAGATGTAAACTGTTTGAATACATAAGTGTTTCTGCGTTAATGTGCAACATAAAAATCAATAGCAAAGTCCTGCTCCTTGCATGGGGGAAGCCACATTAAGGGCAGGAATATTCATTGTAAGTGCTGTGCAGATCACCAGAAACTCCACAGAGGGGGAATAAGTGTGGAGGATTTGGCAGTGCAAGAGAAGAGATGTGAGAGAAGCTGAATTTTCTTTGCCATTGTAACAGCTCACCAAAATGAAGAACTTCATTTCACACATTGAAGATATTCAGGAGAAGCATATCTTCACCGGTATCTGAATGGTGCTGGAATCGGACTAAGTCCGATTAAGAAGGACATCTGATTGCTTCATATCTAGATGGTAAAGAGGCTTTACAAATGCATGGATGTGTCTCGGAGATTTCAGACAGCTCAAGTAAAACAAAATCCTGGCGGTAGGTGGTTTCTTTTCCAAAATCAAAACAATAATGAAGTAAACAAAGCAGTTGCCGCAAAATGGAGCTGATAACACAGCTACCAGATCTGTACAGAAAGGGATAAGAAGACTGCAAGCTTCCTGCAAGTGCAGTTAAAACAAAATTTGAAGGGAAAAAATAACAAGATTGGTAAGGACTGCTGCGATTAACAATAGAAATGTGCCCGCAGAATTTTGGTCTCTTAAATCCCAGAATTCTCCATTCTGGGAGTTCTACTTGAGAGACTCATACCTACAAATTTTGCTCTCCTAGAATAAGAGCTAGCTCAAAGGCTTCCTGGCTTGGCTTCCTGTTAAAAAAGGAAGCTGTTCTGGTACTAGCTGGGAGTTTTGGCTGACAAGCAGGTAAAATTCCAAGCCCTTCCAAAAGCACAATTAAAACAAGAGACAGAAGAGTTAAAGACAAAACAAAACACTAGCTTTAATTCAGCATGTCCAAATGATTCTGCAGTTGTAAAGGTATTTGTCATTCTAGAGAACAAATAAGAGGCATGAGGGTTTAAGAGATTAAAATGTAAATTATGCTGAAAAATATAAGTTACATGGATAATTTATGACAATGTGTCTTTATTCAAAGAATGAAAATTTATATACAGTATAGGTTTATTTATAGGGAAGAATCAGAAGGGGGAAGGTGAAATTCCTGAAGATGCCACAGCATCACAGAGATGCTGCTCATCCAGGCCATCTTGTTTTGGATTATGAATAGGACTTGGCAAACAGTGGCGGTGGCCATAGTTTGATTTAAATGTGAGGATGGAGGATGTTCAATAGGAGATAAATATGTAAAAATGAATTGAAAAATAACTATTTTTTGTGTAAAGAGCCTAGAGATATTAACATGCATCCCTCACATTAAATCCAGCATTCGTGTATTGTGATGGAAAAGAAAAAAAAATATCTAAGGAAGATGCTGAGCTGATGGTAACAGCAGAAGCGTGCGTGCACTTTATCTTTGAAAGTATATTTTCTTTCATGTAGCAAATTCACCGATTAAATCATCAAAGTCTGGCTGCAACTCTGCTTATTTCAGACCCAGAAAACATCTAAGGCAGGACTGAGAGGATGGAAAGTATATTAACTAGAGCAGCATTGCCCTTTCAAGAAGAGATCAAAGACCAATGTGCCCATTGGCAGACCTGGTCTTGCTGTTTGCGTTTCCACATTTGCAGAGATGGTGTCTTCATGGAGAACCAGAAAGGCACAAATAGGGTTGCAAACCTGGATGAGAATTGGCTTAGAATGTCACCAACAGAGCACGGATGGGGGCTCGGCTCTGATCTGTGCACATTTTATTCAGGCAGGTGGTGGGCTGGGAGAACATGTTTACATCACTACTGTGCAGCTGTACATGGAAAGAGAAAAACAGGGTGACAGCTGGGTTGTGCATGATTGTGAAGCTTTCAGGTTACACACAAGTTGCATGAAACCTGAAATCGAAGCACATAGTTTTTTCATGATCATCTGTTGTCAAGTCAGTTGTGGACTTATGTTGATCCTTTCCAAGGCTTTCTAAGTAGTGACTATTCAGAAGTTTCCCATTCCCTTCTTCTGGAGGTGACCTGGTACTGTGCAACTTGCTGAAGGCCACACAGGCTGGCTCTACTCCCAGGAGGCACAGTGGGGAATTGAACTCCCAATTCTGGCTCTACAGTCAAGAGACCTAAACCACTGAGCTGTCCAGTCAGCCAGGCATTATCCAGTGGCAATCAGCTGTTACCAGTGACATCATTCCTTCTAAGGCAGCAAAGCTGATGTGTTTCCCCAGATCAGTGGAATTTGAATTTCTGTATTGAAGGGTTTTTTTCCAGTAGTATTGTATGGAAGTGAGAGCTGGACCATAAAGAAGGCTGACCGCTGAAGAACTGATGCTTTTGAATTGTGGTGCTGGAGGAGACTTTTGAGAGTCCCCTGGACTGCAAGGAGATCAAACTTATCCATTCTGAAGGAAATCAACCCTGATTACTCACTGGAAGGACAGATCCTGAAGCTGAGGCTCCAATACTTTGGCCATCTCATGAGAAGAGAAGACTCCCTGGAAAAGACCCTGATGTTGGGAAAGTTTGAAGGCAAGAGGAGAAGGGGACGACAGAGGATGAAATGGACAGACAGCGTCATCGAAGCGACCAACATGAATTTGGCCCAACTCCGGGAGGCAGTGGAAGACAGGAGGGCCTGGCGTGCTCTGGTCCATGGGGGTCACAAAGAGTTGGAGTTAACTAAACAACATTGAAGGGTGGTTGGAACTGACTTAACAGCATTGATGACGATGGATATTTAGTGCCACTCTTATATGTAAAAAGAAACAGATGACACTAGCAGTCTGATTTCTCAATGAACAGAAAATATTTGACCATTTCGAATGGGGGTTTACATTTGGACTTCTGAGAAATTTACATTTTAGACAATATTTCATTGAAGTGACACAACCTATTAAAAGTCAACCTATTAAATATTTGATTTAAGAAACTTTTTTTGAAGTGGAAGAGCTAACTAGGCTTGTGCTTGGTTACATCTTGTTGTTCTCCTCTCTTTAGAACTTCTGGCATCTCCGATAAGTAAATGATCCTAGTACCTGGCTGCAGAGCCAGAGATGGAGAGGTTGATTCCCACTGTGCCTCCTGGGAAAAGAGCCAGCCTAGATAGCCTTGGATAAGTTGCACAGTCCCAAAGCACCCCCAGAAGAAGGGAATGATAAAACACCTCTGAATACTCTATGCCTAGGAAATCCTGGAAGGCATGCCATAAGTTGGAATCGACGCAATGGCACTATGAGAAAGGAAAAATGAGATATAAACAAGAACGCGGAGGCACCCCCTGAAAAACAAGCAAGTAAGAGATTGAGTGTCAGAAATTTAGGCAGAAGATATTAGATTCAGGGAGAGTATACAGAAATATTATTAACGATAAGAGTTAAAAATATTGGTGTTGTATTTGGAAGGAGCCTCAAGGAAGCTGTTGGTAGAGTATAGAAGCAACAGGAAATATCCACAATTAACAGAAAAAAGTGCAGAAGAGAAAGTACAGTGGTGCCTCGCAAGACAAATTTAATTCATTCTGTGGTTACTGTTGCGGAACGCATAATTTAATTCGTTCTGTGGTTAATGTTGCGGAACACATTTTCCCATAGGAATGCCTTAAAATCTAATTAATGAGCTCCTGTGGGCAAAAAAAAGGCAGAACAAAGTCAAATTTGGTTTACAAAGGTTTATTAAGTGGTCTTTAAAGCCATATATATTGTGCAGATGATTTTAAAAATTGCAATTAAGAAACTACCGTAACTTTTTAAACATCATAGAAAAACATTTAAAAATCAGCAAACATGAG